GCTCACTTGTATCACTTCATGGAATTTATCTCGAGTGATCGTGAGACGGTAATATCATATAAATCATCAAACCTAGAGATATGAGTTGTTAACCATGAGTTGGTTTTGCATTGATTGTACGAAAACGTATCAGTAACTCGATGTTATAAAACGTGCTTTTGTGTATGATTCAACAAGTAGTTAGTACAAGCATATGAGTCGAAGTTTATCTGTTCCTTCTAGTCCTTGGAGGATTAGAAGCGATATCTGGGCCCCTCGATGATTTTGTTTTGAATTATGTGTCGGGACCGGTCAGAACTAAATTGATGTGTTCGATTAAGTTCTATGTCAAACAAAAACGGAAATCGGGAAACAAACTGTTGGACAATAAGTACGACATTGTTCCATGTATTTTTCCGGCTGATATCTTGAGAGCATAGGATTATATGATCACTTATCTTAAATGGCAGGTCATCTTAGTTCCACGAGACTTTGAATGAGCTACGATTGCTGGTCGGACCCTAAGGCCATACTTGCAGCTATAGTTATTAGACTTATCCAAGTGGGAGACTGTTGGATAAGGTGTCTAAGTCCATAACCATATCTGGTATGTACTTGACCCTGATTTGGCATGGTCCATTTGGTTTGCATGGCATCACGACAATTGGATAGACAAAATGAGAAAAGGACACTTATGGTTTGTTAATATATTATAAGTTCTAATATATTAATATGAAATCATATTATTTAATTAGTATTGATCAAGAATTAATTTGGAATTAATTTTGTGATCAAAAGGGACTAATTAAATATATGAGGATTAATTGTGTAAATCATCCATTCTTATATAGTGGGCTTATGATCCACGGTTCATTGGATTGGGCTAAAACCCATAGGGTGCTCCATGGATGCTCCATGGAGGTTAAAACCCATGGATAATGGAGGAAATGAAAAGCCATGTCAATTAGGGTTTACATTGTGTAACCCTACATGTGACACACTATAAAAGGAACCCCATATGGAGCAAAATCGGCACTAAGACAAGAACAAGAAGGGCTAGCTGATTTTGAGTGAAAGTGTTCTTCTCTCAAGTTATTCCAAGAGTTGTGGTGTTGTGTGAAACATTTGAGGCATCACATTTGGGGCGCTAGGATCACAAGGTCTTAAGGAATCCAAGCTACAAGAAAGGTATGTCATTCTACTAGTTTTATATTACAAGTACCCCATGCCATGCTAGTTAGGATGAGAACCTTGTAAAATTCTTATTTGCATGTATATTAGAGAAAACATAGATCCAAGGTTTCTAGGGTTGCATGTACACCGTAGGAGTGTTAGAATGCTCAAAACCCATCAGCAAACTCGTCTTCCATTGCACGTCGCCATTTAAGGTCAACAAGAGCAAGCCGATAATATGTAGGTTTAGCAAAGAAAGCTCGCCTATTTGGATTACAAAGAATTGTTCCATCAGAGAACCGTTTAGGAAAGAATTTTCCTACCTATCCGTGTATGGTAACTCCTGATGGGGCGTTTGAGGAACTGGTTGAAGTGACAACTGAACTAGCTGGAGCAGGAGACGGTGATGGACGAGTTATATCAGTGCTTGCTGGAGTTGATTCGTTCGTGGATATGGTGGTTGTAGTTGGAACATCAGGTGAGAGCTAAACAGTGATAGTGTTAGAGGGCACCATCTGTGAAATATTTGGAATGGGCATCGTGGACAAGCTAGGAGGTGGAGTGGTCTTAGTGTTGTTCATTGAGGGAGTTGTAGCTGCATCAACATGGTTAGCTAATAACAAATATATATCATATTTTCTCATGTGTTCATCTATATCATGTGGCTCGTTTAGAGGGAATGACACACTTGGGAGCGGTGGTGGTAAGAAAGACAATAAAGGTGTTGCAAAAGGAAACTGAGACTCATCAAAAACCACATCACGAGAAATGTAAATTCTGCTCGTTCTTTATCTAAGCAGTTGTACCCTTTATACATAGAACTATAACCCAAGAAAACACATAAAGTGGATCTAAAAAGAGAGTTTATGTATATTTTATTTACGTAAACGTGGCCAACAAGCACACCCAAAATTGTGTAAGAAGGTGTAGTCGGGTATGATGTTCAAAAGACGAGTAATGGGGGTTGAATTTTGAATAGTACGACTTGGCACGGTTTATGAGGTAACAAGCAGTGAGAAAAGCTTCATCCTAATATCAAAGAGAAAGGGAATAGTGAGCTACCAAGGCCAAGCCTGTTTCAACAATATGGTGATGTTTTTGTTCAGCCATACCATTTTGTTGTGATGTATGATGACAAGACACCCGATGAGATATACCACATTGTAGAAAATATTTGTGAAGTTTATGATATCCCCCCCCCCCCCAATCGGATTGTATGGTACGAATTTTCGTGTTAAGTAAGCGCTCAACATGATTTTGGAAATTATAAAAAACTTGTTCAACATCAAATTTGTGTTTAATGCAGTAAATCCAAGTGTAACGACTAAAATCGTCCAAAAAACTGACATAATATCGAAAACCACCACTAGACACTTGAGCTGGTCCCCAAACATCCGTATGAACAAGCTCAAGTGGTGATGAAGTGACATGACTATAATTTTTATAAAGAAGTTGATGAGTCTTTGCACGTTGACATGCATCACAAACAGATGACTCATTAAAAGAAAAACCTAAATTATTAGACTTCAATATAGGCTTGAAATTTTTTGAAGTAGGATGACCAAGACGATGATGCCACTGAGAAGACGACACTTTTGTGTTTGACCCAACATATCGAGGAGCATGACGGATGGGCACCGGAAAGAGACCTCATTTTCTTCTACCGATTAGAAGTGTTTTCTTTGTGTGTATGTGCTTAACAAAGAAAACATTAGGGTAAATTTCAATGAACACATGATTAGCATTAACAAGTTTATCGACTGAAAGAAGGTGTTTGTTTATATGTGGGACACGTAATATATTTTTAAGAACAAGAGGTCGACTAAGGCTTTGAATTTTAGACTGACCAACATGAGAAATATGGAAATCTATGCCATTAGCTACTTGGACTTGATCGTTTCCTTGGTAGAGTTGAGATATGGACAAACGATCAAGATCACTCTTGAGGTGATATGTTGCTCTGGTGTCAAGGTACCAATTTGGATCATTGTTGTAGCTTCCATATGTCGCGTTGTTCCCGCCACGCTAATCCTCAGTCTATATGCATCATTAAATGGATTTCTACAGTTTAAAGCTATGTGCCCGGGTATGCCACAGACTTGAAACCTCAGGTCTCGACCATATTATATTCCTCTGCCATGCCCTCGACCATGGTTACCATTGTTGCGATAATTATTTCGCTGATTTTGTTATTATAGAAGTTATTATACCCATTGTTGCCTTGGGATTTTCGAGGGTTACTTATTCCCTGTTTTGTAACAGTATTGGCAGAAGATTCCATTTATTGATATTGTATGAGCATCATGAGCGATGAGATAGGAGTAGAATTCAGATAGCTTCACATCTTGGTTGTTACTTAGCACTGTTATGGTTGTAAACAGGTCCCCATGACTAGGTCCTAAACTGTCTAGAATGTAGCCAATGACTTCTTCATCAGTCATTGGGTGACTAATATTGGCCATAGTGTCAGCCAACGAAATCATTTTTTGATAGTATTCGGAGGCTTTCATGTCACCTTTCTTTGTATTTGCGAGTTGTGTACGAATTTGGATAGAATTACCTTCGTGTTGGTCTGAAAACATAGTTTGGAGAGAGGTCCATAGTTGACTGTGTAGCGAGTGAGTTAAGAGAGGACTTCTTCGGTCATGTAAGATAACAAGCCTCCAAGAATTGCTTGATCTTTATTAACCCAGAACTCATACGCAGTGTTGTATTCTTGTCTTACTGCATCTCCTGTGCCAACAGTAATCTTTGGCGCTGGAACATCTGTAGTTCCATCGAGGTAGCCAAAGAGCTTGACACCTCGCAAAATTGGTACCACTGTGCTTTCCAAAGTAGAAAATTTGTGCGAGCAAGCTTGCAAGTTATTGCTGTAGCTATTTTTGAAGAATTGATGAGTGTGGGGGTAGTCATGATGATTGACGAACTGCGAGAGAATAGAATGAAAACCCCCAGAGATCAAGCTCTAATACCAAGTTAATGAATAAGATTGAATTGGCTGAACATCTCTCGTAAGAGTATATTATATATATATATATATATATATATATATATATATATATATATATATATATATATATAGGCTTAGGTTATTCTATTCAAAGTAATTATTGTGTTATTGTATGCATAAATGTGGGCCAATCAATTTTACTTATTTTAAGAAAGTGATTAATACATATTTTTGAATTAAATAAAATTGAAAAATATCATCTAATTTAATTACAAGGGTATTTTAGTCAATTAATACATATTTAATAAAGGAAAATCGCATATTTTAAGGGATCATAGATTCTATTAATTTTAAAAATCTGATTTTACGAATTATAATTCTTTTAATTCGGACATTCTGACAGAATATGTTTATGAGTATATTCAAAAATAAAAATATTCTTGAACTATAAATAATAAAAATATTTTTGAACCTATTTCTTGATCATGACTTTAACAACTTCTTGTAGAATAACAAATTCTTGAACAATGAATTGAAGAATAAAAACAAAAAATATATAATTTCTTATAGAATACGGGTAACAATTGTTAAGAATTACATGAGAATGTTACCCTTATTAATAACAAAAAAACACAATATATAAATCATTCTACTAGAATATACTATTACATATATTTTTTTTCAATACATTGTATATTATTATGGTAGAATAATCCATTATTTTTGGAAGATTGGTGGTCATTGTTCGTCTTCATCCCATACAATGTTCATCTTCAAGATTCTATTATGACAGAATCAGAATTCAAGATTCCATTCCAATAGAATTGGAATTCGTGATTCTATCCCGATAGAACTGCAATCATAGAAAATACACAAATCACAAAGGAAATATCGAGATTTAATTCCCACAGAATTGGAATTCGCCACCATTTATAGCAGTGATAATATGATTAAGTTCTTCCAACTTGCTCTTTACTCGATTCCTCTGAAATTAAACAGCAGCAAATAATAAGATTTGAAACTAAAAGATCTAAGCATTACCAAAAAATGTACAAGGATATTGTATCCTGAAAGCAATAGTCTAAAAAAGAATCTGACACTTTACGACAAATAAATTATTTCTCTCAGACAAATCGTCAAACACCTGGTGCTCAGACACCTACACATCATATTAATAACCGTACCACGATTCAAAAAGCTTGTAATTTACTTGTCTTGAACAAATCAAGAACTTATATAGAAACACACATGTTGCATACGACCAAGCTTGTTCCACACCTCTCTCGTGTAACAAAATTGTAAAGGGTATATGCGTATGAAGATTCGTGGTATCAGCTGAAAAAGCAGATAAAAATTCAAAATTGAAACAAATGTCATACCACAGCTAACCAACAATACAGCAAGAGAGCCAAATTTAACCCCAGTTGATAGTTTTTTCATCTCGGGGAGAACAAATCTTGTTGAAATCGTGTTGTCGACCCCACCAAAAGTTGTCAATTTAAATGCTCGATTGAAACGATAAACAGTTGTACATTGTGTCTACAAACAACCCCAATCAATAGGTTAAAACAAACTAAAGATTTTTGTTTGAAAATAGTAGAATCGAATCATTGAGAGACCAATTTGGCAATCCCTAGAGAAAAAAAAATTAAAACTTACCTGATAGAGAAGTTGTGTCGCCGTTGAAGTCGCAGAGGGGACAGATGGAGAATTGGGGTTTGATCGAGAGCGAATGGGGTTAGGGTTAAAGGGGAAAAGGGACGGTAGATCTGAAGAGAAGATAGAAGGAACTAATAAGAGATAAGAAGGATGTTGAAGGCGTCTCCGGCTAGGTGGAAGAAGGCGAAGATAGCGGAGATGATGAAGCACTCACCGAAAAAGCTTGAAATCGCCGCTCCTTTCCTCCTATCACTTGTCGTCCTATACTTCATCTGTTTTGGAGCAAGGTTAGGCTGTTAGGGAGGATCATCGTAATTTTGAATGAGATAAAATACATTAGTTGTTGATTGTTTTAAAAAAGGATAAAGCTAGGTCAAAGTAATTACCATAATTATAGAAGTGTATTTGTAGAAATTATTTATCAAATTACTAAATTACCCTTATTTATTTGTTTGATTATTTATTTATTTTTTAAATTTTGATTGGTCCACAATCAACCATACAATAACACAATAATTACTTTAAACACCTTAACCTAGCTCTCTCTCTCTCTCTCTATATATATATATATATATATATATATATATATATATATATATATATATATATATATATATATATATATATATATAATAAATGTATATATATAATGTATATATATATATATATATATATATATATATTATATATATATATATATATCTATAAAGATTTATTAAAAAATGGGTTAAAACCCAAAACCTACACTTAAAATCCAAAACCCATCAATCTATGGGTTGAAACCAAAAATATGACAACCGTCAGTCAAAGTCAAAGTCAACAAGTCAAACCGGTCAAACTTAACTAGTACTTCTAGGTTAAAAGTTATTCTATATATGAAAATGTACATTTTTATGTCAAGAATTCAAGTGTCTCGGATATTTTATGTGTTTAGCAATGTAAAACCCTAAGAAGGGAGTTAAATGCACCAAAACACGACAATAGACCCTTTTGGGGACTTAAAATAATCATAAACGAAGCATAAAGGGGTTCACGAACCTTGCATTGCGAGACTATACACTAATATTGACTAAATCAATTCTCTCCCAAATCTCTCTAAAAATCTCTCTCAACTTTTTATAGTCATCCGGGTCATCCCGACCCTTTACTTGGCCAAAAACCCCTTGAATCGGGAAGTTTACTTGAAAAACAGCCCTATAGGACCGAAACCCTAATCGAACCGAACCTCTTGGAAGTGAAACCCTAAGAAGCGAAACACCTCATTTGGACCGAAGCTTCTTATGACCGAACTGCTTAGAACCGAAGGTCCCCTTCAGAACCAAACTTAGCCTTGGACCGAACCTCCGTGAGGACCGAAACCAGTCTCGGACCGAAGCTCATAAACAACTGAAATGAACCGAGCTTTCGGTCCATTTCGTTTCATTCTTACCTTCGGACCCGAACTCACCTTCGCTCCTATCACCTTCGGACCCGAGCCCTCCTTCGGTTCCTTCTTCTCACTCTCGGTCCTCAACACTAAGAACCGAACCTTCACAGGTTCGCCCCATCTTGTCCGGTTTTCGACTACTTTCGCCCGTTTTTGACGTTTTTGACGGGGATTTTTCACCAAATTCATATTTTTATCATTTTAAACTCCCTAAACTCATATTTTATTCAAATCTCAAGGATTTATTAATTATAAATCATTATTTCATTGAGAGAAATATCTAAGGATAATCTACCCCACAAGTGGGTCAAGTGTGCCCACTTGCGTCCATGTGTCACTTTCTCATTAGTCCAATCCTATCCACATCACACAAACCAAGCCAAACATCCTCTCAACTTTGCAAATTGCTCCAACAACTTTCTATATAAGGAAATCCCTGGGGGATTTCTTGAACTTCCTTGATCATTTCCTTCACCATCAAACACTTTACACTCTTCTTAACCATCAAGAGAGCCTCTTTTTCTCTCTACTTCCAGCCACTTTTTGAAGGTGTTCTTGAGCTATTACTTCACTTTTTGGTAAGTATTTCATCTAAACTCAAGTGTTATTCCATTTTTTTATAACATCCTTGAATCATCTACACACATTTTAACACCAAAAATCGTTCGTAGGATCATCCAAAACTTCACATGTTCATCAAGTGTTCTTGACTTGATACTCCTCATCTTCAACCTTCCGCTCTTCAAGAAATCACTCAAGGTGAGTTCATACCCCTACATTTTCCAGTTTTGTTTAGTTTCCAGGGGGCGGGGGGAATACAAGTTAAAGCACCAAAACATATTTAAAACTTAACTTGACAGCTTACAACAGAAAAGTTGTGACCTGTTCACGAACTGTTTTACCCGAATTAAACTTAATATTTTTCAAAACTGTACAATATTCAAGTAGTTCAGGTTTATACCTTTCTAAGGACTACTTGCACGCGTTTATACGATTTTTCTACAATTTATGGCGATTTTTACAAAACTGCCTATCACCGCAGCAACAAAATCGGACCAGGCAGTGAAGATTAACGTTTTCATACTGGTTTGAGACAGCCAAAAATTATAAGAAAATTTATGAACACAGTAGACTCTTTTTCCAAACTCTCAGAGTTTACGGATTCAGTTTCCGACTTACGATGAGTTTTCTATAAATATTCTAAAATAGGGACAGTTAAGGTTAAAACTGTCAAAAGATGTTTATGGGTTATTCACACCTTGTAACATGTTGAGCAAGGTGTGTAAGATTTACACTTAGTATTTTCAATGTCATTTTTATTGAAATACAAGTCATGCATAACAAGGTTTCATTAAAACATAAAACACTCTTGATAAACTATAATAGGTATAGTTTGAACACCTCGCTTAACAAAGAAACAGTAAAACAATCGATTTACAAAACAGATATTTCATTACAAACTACGTGAACTTGTTAATGAATAAAATTGTGAGACATTCACCTTCAGGGTACTCTTAAGTACACCAGAAAAGTCATGTAGTTATAACCAGAATCTCTTGTAGGGAGAGCGTGATAGTTGTGTATAGATCTATATTGGGTCTGACAAACCCGCACCTAAGCTGCTTGCAACAGCTAGACCGGCAGGTCTGGGGTGACAAATGTCATAACATTCCGACGCCTGAAGAACGTCGAGTACGAGGCCTTCGAGTTTTAGCATGGTTATAACAACTCACATGGGGAATTAACAAAACACACAGTTCATGGGGATTTAAGAATTTCACAAAAAGGAGTTTTATTTAAATATAAAACCACACATAAGTATGACGATTTACTTACATATACTAAGTCTTGGTTCAGTTAAGACTACAACAAACCTTTTAGAAAATATTGGATTTTCTGGAAACAAACTTGTAACAAACTTTAAGGAACAACACTCATTTTTCATTCATAAATTGCTTATGAACTCACCAGCTTTAATGCTGATACTCTTTCAAAAACAACTTGTATTCTCAGGTATTCAGTAATACAGGTAACCACAAGATTTTTGAAGGCAAGACGCTAAGGCACATATTTTTTTTGCAATATTTTGGCATCATATATAATTTATTTGGAAACATGTATTTTTGCAACGATGTAACCTTTTAAATTATATTTATGATGATTGTGTTTACTTTCTTCACTATGGTTATGATACTGAGCATGACGTCCTCCGCACCCGAACGTTTCCGCCGTTCCGGTTTGGGGCTGTAAAAACCACAAAAACCGACCCAAGAGCCAAAAAACCCGAATCCAATGGGTTCCAAAAACCGAAATTACCGCTTTGGGTTCGGTTTCACCCAAAACCGATCCAAACCTACCCGTGTACATTTCTAGTTCGTACAAATATGAAATATTTTGTATATATTTCTTGTAATCAATTAAAATAAAAACTAAATATAGATAAAGAAAATATTAATTAGATAATAAGAATAATTTCAAGAATATTGTAATCCCATAACCATATGGCAGAATACTGAGTTAATAAAAGATTGAATTACGCATAAAAGTACAAAAACATGATTAAAACATGAGAAGCATGTTTGGTTTTGGAATATCGCAAAGAAATGAACTGGATGCACAAATCGATGGAATTGATCATTGCGTTATCCCCTAGCCTAATAATAAATAAGAAGATTTATGCCACGTCGCATTCTCTAAACCCCTCCCAATCAAATTTTCCCGCTCATTCTTTAGGGTGTGAGTTTCCACAAATGCCCTTCACCTATTGTATACCCCTTTCCCATTTCTTCTATACTCCTTAATTCCGCTGCTTTCCTAACTATAGTCCAGAAATCAGCTCCCAAATTATCGGGATAATTAGCAAGATTGATGTTAATTTGGTATGTTTTCGATTCATTTTTCGCCTAATTATTTAGATTTCATGAATTAGCTCTTGCATCTGTTTACGATTCTCCTTCTGCTGCTGCTATCATTCAAATAGTTTTTTGCTCTTTTTCAGTTTGTTGCTTTATTCTTCAGCCCCACATTGTAAATACCTTGTTCATCTATCTCCTTCACCAAAGTGTGTGTGTGTGTTATTATCATCATCATCTACCTATGGATACCTTTTCTTTAATTTTAAGAATTTTGTTTGTTTGAATGGCTTTATGATTTTTAGGGTTTTGATTAACCAAATCTATTATTTATTCAAATCACTTGTGCGTTTCAATTTTAAATATTATCAAGTTCCGAGTCCATTTTACTAGGAATCATGAATGGGTGATATTTGAAGAGTCGAAGCCAAAAGAAACATAAATCATGAATCGGTGATATTCAAAAGAGCCGCAAGAGAGAAAGGATTTGATATCAAGTTAGCTTCATCTCTAAAACTCAGCTCACCATCATCTCCTTATTTATAAAATTGGAAAATTCCTCTTCTTTTGTTTTGTTTCACTTGATGTTATGTATTTTTGGTTTTTAATTTTTCTTTTGTTCTCTTTTTTGCGTTTTCTCTACTGAGAAATTATTTAGAGGAATGGTAAGAGTTATATATATATATGTGTGTGTGTGTGTGGAAATCAAGGGAATCAGTGACCAAGGCTAATAAACTCGAATGCAATCATTTTTCATTTATCATGGTCGCTGATTCCTGTCGAGCTCCCTATTTTTTTCATTAATCAAATTTTTTTTGGATCGATAGTATTTTCATCAATCAATTAGAATATCATATATGATCGATAGGCAATATTTAAAAGAACATCAAAGCTTCTTATTGTAATGAAGTTTGGTTTTAAGCTTTTGATAACAGGTTTTGTAATCTCAAATCAAGTTGCTTCCATGGTAATATATGATTCCCTATACGAAAGT